TGCGTGGGTGTGTGTGTGGGTGTGTGTGTGGGTGCGTGTGTGTGTGTGTGTGCGTGTGTGTGTGTGTGTCTTTGTACGAGTGTGCATATAATATATATATATATCTGTAAAAAACAAGTAAAGAGGCAACTATGTCCATGCATGTTTGTTTACGTCCTACATTCTCCACCCTTACGCCTCCGTCTCCAAGACAGGCCAATATTATATCACTTGTCCTGTTATGTGAAAAAAACCTATACAGGTATACACGCACGTATACACATTTACATTCAATACAATGCGATGCAATAGAAGACAATACGATTTGATATGATACGATACGATGCAACGCGCATGCAAATACAAACTCAGATACACATGCAATCATACACAAAACGACAAAGCGCAATGCAAAACAACACAGAGCATTATGTTACATACAATACGGTGTAGTATATTACATTTTGATACGAAATCAATTATTACTACAATACAAGGCAATGCAAATACACATGAACACATAAACACGCAATACTAATGCAATGCCAATACAATACCAATATGACGCGGTACAATACCAATACGATACCAATACCAACACTGATTGCAAAACATATACCAACGCCCGTACCAATACCACCACACTGCACTGCGCTACGCTGCACTACGCTACGCTACACTATGCTACGCTACATACAGTACAATACATACCTGAACATTTCAGACACATGCACATGCACAGAAATAGAAGTGTAAGTCCAGCTATGAGTGCGACCATAAGCAGGTTGAGTCTTCCTGCTGTTGCCGCAGTTTCAGCGGCTACTGGTAGTATTCCTGCAAATGCCCTGGTTGTCGCTGTTGTGTTGATGGTCGCAGCGACACGCGCGAAAACTGCCGCCTTTGGTTGGGCTGAAAGCCTCATCTCACAAAACACCCCGGCCTCTTCGCCCTCACCGGTCTGGTGAAGAGGGAACTGGGCCTTGCATCGGGGATTCCGATTTGCAACCAGGAGTGATCTAGTTTCCTGCAGGCTTCATGAGGGTTGTCTAAGGGCTTTGTGAGCGCCATTACGACGATTCCGAATTTCGACACCGTCGCGCAGAGGCTTTACGCTGCGTTGGATGCTGTTCCGTGGTTTAGTTGAGGGCTCAGTGTCGCAAACCACGTGGGCACTGCTGGCCTTTATTGTCGATTTGGTGGTGTACGGCATTCACAAAGCATCGAGGGCCTTTAAACTTAAGGTGAAGACGGTCAAGACACCCGACATCCCTAATTCCCGAACTAGACCCAAGAGAAACCTAGGAAGAAAAAGGGTGCCCTTTTTGGTTTAAAGGACTTTATACGGGAACCTGAACCCTAAAAAAGGTAATAAGGGCCTACTCTGGGTCCTAGTGAAGAATGGCCTCATAGCTCGCCAAGTTGACGAGTTCCTCTTCGTCAGGACCCCACTCCTGGCATGCAACCACGAAGCACCAGGTTTTTGGTTTTAGTTTGGCAGTGATTGAGTTTCAGAGTGAAGAGGGCTTCGGTCTTCTTGGGCTTTTCCTTTTGTCTTTGGGGTTTGGAAATATGCAGTGCTTTTGATTCTTCTAAACCCTAAACCCTAAGCCCTGCTTGGAAATGCGCAGTGCTTTTGATTCTTCTAGTTTTTTGTGGCGGGACTCCATGGAGCGAACATCTTATGCGGGACAAATCGTGCGACGAGCTGTTGAAATGGGGCTTGCAGACACTTAGGGGCGCCTGGAGGGGGGTGCCCTATACTGAGGATCTTACTAGCTAGGGTCGATACTAGGATTCAGGCTGCTATTAAAGTCTGCGCTGAATCTATAATTGTGTTTAGATCCTTTGCCGTTTTATCCGTTCTTCCGCAATACCCACGGAACTAGAACACACAACTTTCAAAAATCATACTTGCGAGATTCGAAGAACGCTTCTAGTTTGAGGCTTTTGTACTCAGACTCACTCAATTTTAAGTTGTTGCGTTCATTCTTGCCACAACGCGATTGCTGCAGGCCCCCAAGACCTGTTCGTCAGATGCGTAACCGTGAGTGCTGTGAGCGGTGAACATGGAGGTTGCACATTTTTGCTGCAGTTCGCGTTTGTGAATGACAATCTACTTTCTCTGGAACTCTACTTCCTCTTTCGGCACGTGCCGCAGATGTCATCATGACATGCTCCACAGTACCATCGAGGACCAGAATCGGCTTTAGCACAGAGATTGCACACAAAGCTATCATACTCTGGGCTGACGCCCCACTTCATCTTATGCCCTGCAGCAAGGCAGACATTGCCACGATCAGGCTTCAACTCTCCAATCATCTGACGCAGCTGTCTCTCGCGGATGATCACGACACCTTGATCGATTGCTTTCTGATACTTGCTGGACATAGCACCACTGTTCACACAAAGGAGATGTGTGGACTGCTTGGTCAGAGAGCTGGTCACTTCTCCACCATGGCCTTGCAACACACTTGAGCCCGTAAAGCTTGAGAAGCTAAGCAAATCACCCAAAAACACACTCCTAAGCCCTCGAAACCTTGCCCCACTGCTGAAGCTGCAAGTCGGTCTGAAGCCAAAATAATCAAACAAAGAATAACATACCAGTAAGTAATGGAAGTGACAACAGTAGCGTGACAGCTATGGCCTCAGAAACTGCGCACACTGACACTAGTGACTAGTGAGAACACAGCTGATGATGGACCAACGCTTGCCGAACATTCCATGATTGCCATTGTATAGGAATGCTTAGATCTGCAGCCGGACGGACAGCAGTACTAGGAAAACTAACAGCAATAGTACCACTACTGGCAACAGTGTATTTCCTTCAGAACACAAAATGAATACCCGACACGAGAAAACAAGCATAACAGCAACAAGCTTGATAGCACATAGAAGGTTGTGAAAATCGCCGAGGTTCTCTTGATGAGGTCCGTCATCTGTTTCCGTGTCTCTGAAACCGCACCGGTCATGCAGATTGCCTTGCCGGCCAGCTTGCCACTCTTCGTGGCCTTACCCTTGAGAATCGTCGGTTTGACCTTGGCCTTGGCTTTGGCTGTGGCCTTGGCCTTAGCTTTGGCTGTAGCCTTGGCCTTTACCATGGGTTTGCCGAGTGCCTTCTTGAACTGTGCCTCTGTGTAGATCTTCTTGCCGCTCGCCTTGGCAGCAGTCACCTGGGTTGATACGTAACATCGGGGTCTTAATAAAATAATGCTTTGGGTCTTTCTTAGCGGAACCATAGGAAGCAACCCTACGGAATAGTCTTAGTAGTCAGTTATTCAGGCCTCTTTATGACTGGCAGTTTTAGCCCTGTTTCCTAGTAAAAGCAACTCAAACCTCAACCCCAATATAAGAACCTGATTGAAGTCCTGTGGCCTTGGCAGTAGCCACCGCATCTGGGCCAGCGACGACCACATCGGTGACTGCAGACACGGATCCTGCTACCTTCGCGCCGGCAGCTTTGGCCAGTGCAGATGCTTCTGCACGGCTCATGGAGAGCGTTCCTCCACGATTTTAGGGGAAATCGCTGAGTAGAGGAACCATCTTGTCATGCGTGGTGGGCTCTTCAAGGCAGCCTTAAATCTTGGAAGAAGCGTTTTCGGGGTATACTCAAGCATGTTATAATGCCGGGGCCTAAGTAACAGTCTTTGCTGTGTACTATTGGCAGTCTGGGCAGGGCTCCTGTGAAGACGACAGTCTTCCCGCCGAGCGACATGGCAGAAGACGAAAGGCCAAAAACTTAAAACCCAAGCCCCAACTCCTTGAGCCCAAATGTGTGGCAGCAGTCGAGGCCAAAGACATCGGACCTCAATCAGCACCCGAAACTGACCAGGCTCTTTTAAATTTAAGTAGTTACGATTTCAGGTTGAGGGTTTAGGGTTTACGGTTTGAGCGAATACTCCCCAAGTCAGCGGAGCGGGGTGACCCGGGAAAAGCACACCCGAACTGCTGAAGCGCAGCTCCTAATCTCTGAGGCTAGGATCAGAAGACGAGCCGAACAAATTTCTGTCCAACAAAGCCAAAGATTGCTTTACACAGTGAGACTGTGGGGTGGACTGCCTCGACTAAGGATATGCCCCGAGACTCCAAAACCCCTTAATTAAGGAAAATACCGTAAATTATAATGGGAACCCTAATAAGATCTAAGGTATAGTCCTTAATTAAAGGGTTTGGGAGTCTCTGGTACCCTATTTTGGGGTCCTTTATAATAAGGATCCTTCTTTTTAGGGTACTATATTAGGGTCCCCTATGTTTGGAAACCCCGCATATGTGTAGTCGTGCATTCTCTAGGCTTTAAGGTGCTGGTGTCGGCTCAGACGATGCATGGTTTCGGGCTTCAGGATTTGAGTCCGGCCCGGACGTCTCGGTTTAGGGTTTAGGGTGTAGGGAATAGAGACTTCCTGCTATCTCGATTACAGAGCTTCCTTCAACTTGGACAGCAAAAAACAAACCTCAACGGCCCCACGCCAAGACACCCTGAATCATGGCGCGCTTGTAATACCCCGGCCCCCAAAGCCATACTTACAGCAACATCCCAAAGCAACATTTATCAACAAACCGTAACCCTACACCCTAAACACCCTAAACACCCTAAACACCCTAAACACCCTAAACACCCTAAACGCCCTAAACACCCTAAACACCCTAAACACCCTAAACACCCCAAACACCCCAAACACCCTAAACACCCTAAACCCTTCAACTTGCCCCAAGGCTCGACATGAAAACCAACAGGCCCGATCCAACCTTCGCCAGGATGCCGTCGTAAATTCGAGACCTAGGGCAAACTTAGGGTTTTAGGGTTTAGGGTTTTTTTGGGGTGATTGTGGTGGCTTTCGAGCTCTTACCTGGCTCTTCTTGACGCCGGAACTCACAAGGGCCGGAAGGACTGCCCAAAACAAGGGAAGGTTTCGTGTGGAATCTGCTCTGGCCCCTAGACCCTAAACCCTAAACCCCTAAAGCCCCAAAGCCCTAAACCCTAAACCCCCAAACCCTAAACCCCTAAACCCTAAACTAGACTTAAGCCAAGGAGACGATGAGGAAAGGAAGCGGCAAACTGCTTCAGCTTCCTCGAACACAAGGGACTAAAGGAGAGACCCTTAAAGGGACCCTTGGGGTTATATAGGGGCTTTATGAGACTGTATAAGGGGTATATAGGGGTTATTTAGGGCATTAGGATTAGGGGTCCCTTCCCTTAACGAACGCAAGCCCCAGACCGGAAGAATATGCCATCTGTACTTGCGGTTTAAGGATTAGGGTTTAGGGGTTTAGGGGTTTAGGAGTTTAGGGTTTCGGGCAGTAGGACCGCCAGTGCTACCAAGCAAGTCTGCCTTCTATTGCAACAGAGCAGTGTTGGTGCTAGTCGGAGTATGGTAGCAGCTTCCTAAACCCTAAACCCTACCGCCATCACCACCACAAAACCGACTGGCGGTCTTCCGTCACGAGGTCAAAGATTTTTAGAGCCATCAGAATTTACAAACACTATCCCCTAGGGTTTCCCGTGAGATGTGTACTATAGTATGCCCCCCCAAACCTCGTTCTACTGTTTCAGGCCCTGTATCAGCCAGTAAAGCCAACACATGCATCCAAAACCTTGCCATCTTGCCACTTTTTGACGCGACCCGAGCTTCGCGTCTGACATGCCTCCCCTCCAATCAAGCCTGTCTAAAGGATTTTGAAAAAAGGGCAATTGTCAGCATCCTTGTCTGGCAACTCTGTACAAGAAACGTGAGACCGAGCCTTGTCACCCGGATTGTGCTGATGTGGAGCGAGGCAGTCCTTTACACTATAAGGAGAGGTTGTGCACAGGTCAGGCACCTATTCCAAAATTCATAGAGAACCGGGAGGAACGCGAGACATGGCGTGCTGCCTGACTGCAGTTGCGGGGGCGTTTTTCAAGCATTCCCATGATTGAAGAATCGTGGGGGTGCTGACTGTCACAGCCACAAGGAAACCATTCCCTGAAGTGGAAAACGAATTCCTCCAAACCGACAAAGGCCCAAAGCTCTTCGTGGCTTCTTCGTGCTCACCCGCAACTCATGCAGGACTGACGCGGCATCTTTCGGATGACTGTCGGTATCCCTAAGGCTAACATCACCTATACCCTAAACCCTAAACTCCCGAAACTTCTAATGCAAGTCTCACCATGGTCTCAAGTCACTCCCAGCGTCGCCTCATTGGCATCCCCTCTTTGCAGCCTTCCTTGTCGCACGCCGCTTTCAGTTCAGGTTTAGGATGTAGAGCAATTCACCGATTACTAAACCCGAAACCCTAAGTTTATTGTTCAGGGTTCAGGCTTTAGGGAGCTACCCAAGCTCCTGCAGCGCTCCAAAGCAGGGTCTCGAAAACTTGCGAGGAGTGTCCCGGCTGAGGGTCTTGGGCTCTGGCTCCCCTGAGAGTCATGAGTGTACGGTTTAGGGCTTAGGGTTTAGGGGTTAGGGTTTAGGGGTATCTATGCTATCACCCCTGAAGAGCCACTAAATTTTCCCCGAAACCCGATTTGAACAATTACGCCAATTCCGTCTTCTAGATTACCCCATCTTAAGGGCAGTTCAAGGAAGGCCGCTCTTGGGCCATGCGCATAACTCTGTGGAAAAAAGAGGTGGAGGCGGACGGCTCCAGCGCTATTCCGGGAAGGAACAGCGGTCTGCGACACAGTCCTGCAGCTGTCTTGAGGCTTCTAGGTCGCGATTTGACGCTTTACATCCTAAGGTCCTGGATCTTTCCCTTCCCTACGTCGCAAGACGACACAATCATTCCGATCCGTAGCCCCTTCGCTATTGTAGCCATACTATGTGTACTAGACTATACTTTAAGGCCCTATTCTAATATAGTCGGCCCAACTCGAAGTCGGTGTTTTCTAAACCCGGCACCCACTGTTTCAATCTGAATGTGCTCGCAGATCTCCTCCAATGAAACCGTAATGGGTTTAGGGTTTAGAGGCTTTAGGGCTTAGAGGGTTTAGAGGGTTTAGGGTTTAGGGGTTAGGGCCACACAACCCCATGAAAAAATAAACCCACAAACAACGCGAAGCGACACCCTAAACCTAAAACATAAAGCCCTGATGAATTCCTCAAGAAAAGCTCCTGCCGGTTAAAAACGATTACACTCTGTTCAAACTTATGCCGTAAACCTATGGGAGTCCCGAAAAACCATGAATAACACCCTAACAACACGTTAAAAGAAGTGCAACCGCCCAAGCCGTGAATCCGCCACCCTCCCGCCCCTCCGGCGTGTCTCCACACTGCCGCAAACCCGAGAACTCGAAACTCTAAACCGCGGAACCCTAGAGCCCCAAAGCCAAACCCCCAAAAACCCTGAACCCGAAACCTAAAACCCCAAACCCTCAAGACCCTACACCTTAGAGTACCCTTACTAGTACCCTTAGAGTTACCCTCATAATAACCTATCTAGTAACCTTATTGTAACTCCGTGGTCCATGACTTTTAACTTACCTAAGCCC